CTCCCTCTGACCCTCCTCCCTCTCATGCTCTCTGTCTCTCATTCCCTATCTCTCAAATAAATAAATAAAATCTTTAAAAAAAAAAAAAGAAAAAGGATGTTATAAAAAAAAAAAAAAAAGAAAATCATAAGGAAGAGAAAATACATTTACAGTACCACATTGTATTTATTGAAAAAAATCCATGCATAGGTAGACCCATGCAGTTCAAACCTGTGTTGTTCAAGGGTCCACTGTATTCCCTCCCTAACATACCCAGAGGCTTGGAGTAGTAACACAGTGCTTTGTGTATGAGCTGTGCAGGATGGGGGGCAGGTGTGCCGCTGGGAAACCCCTGATCTATTCTTTTAAACATCCTCCCCCTTTTCTCTGAGCCTGGTTCCCTGAAGCTGGTGCAGGGGAATGGAGTGGGGGAGGACACATCCTCGGGCCATTCTTTCCTTCCTGCTGCTCATTTCTGCTAGTCCAGCAAATTGTGGTGATGTGGTGTGGCAAGGTGGGGGCTCCAACAGGACCAAATCCCTAGCAGCTCTGCTGGGCATTGCTGATGGGCAAGACCTGCCTGGGTCTTCCAGAGAGCTCTTCCTGGGCAGTCTCACACTGCATTCCTTTGATGCAGGGCCTCTTTGCCTCATGCGGAAGAATACTGCATTAAGACTGCAGCACCAAAAGTCACTTCTTTGCACCCCCAAACTGTAGCAACAGCAGGAATGGGCAGGATCTGTCTTCCACACATCTGGGGAATGAGCAACTCTAGGGGCGGGTCTTGCCCTCAACCTTGGTGTTGTCATCGCTCTGTCCCTCTACCCTGTGCCCTTCTCCTCTTTGGCTCAGTGAATACACAGCAGGGGTACAAGATGTCAGCTTTTTCTTCTAAAGGGGACCCCCAGCTTTATAAGCAATTGCCGTGAATCTTCTTTCTCTGATTTTAGGAGGGAAGCAAGCATCCTCCTTTCCCTTATTTTACCGTCCTAAACATTGATTCTCCCTAAAGGCGACCTCCTCCACAAACCAGCCCTCCCCCCTTTTATGGATCAAGGGGGCCAACTATCAATTCCACCAGGCCTTTGTAGGGAGTGGCTGACTCCAAAATAGGGATCTTTTGATTGTAGAGCATGAGATACTGAGCACCTTTTGTTCTCAGCTGTGAGTTCTAGTTGCCAATTCTGGGAAAGAGGAAGAACCCACTCAGCACAATACTGTCACATGGGATTATGTGCAAATCAAAGATGCCTATGGCAGCAGATTTTAGAGTATGGATATTTTCCTATCTTTGTAAGGGATTCCTGTGTAGAGTGCATTGGCCCTTGCCTTAATTTTCCAGTAGCCCCAACCCTAAGTTTTGGAAGCGCACCTGATCTCCTGTTTTGTCTGATCTTTTAATTTTAGGTTTAAGATGCTAAATGATGAAAACTCCAGCCACCTCCTATACTTTAACTGTGCTCTCAGGTGGTTTGCTCTAAGAATGGACGTCCTCATGAACATTGTTACCTTCATTGTGGCCTTGTTGGTGACTCTGAGCTTCTCCTCAATTAGTGCTTCATCCAAAGGCTTGTCTTTGTCTTACATCATCCAGGTAACACCTCATGTAAGGTTAGGCTTGGCCTGGAGGCTCTGGCATAGGGCATATCAAGGAGGATGGATATAATAGAAGATCCAACTCAAATGGGTTCAAAGAATAAAGAACTTACTGGCTTACATCATTAAAAGGCCTGGCGGTTGTGTGGGCTTCAGGAACAGTTGGATCATAGCCCCTGGCTTTGTCCTTATTCTGTGATGACTTCCTTCATGGTTATACAATGGTGACTGACAGTCTCTGAGGGCTGTAACAGGAAGGAAGGAGAAACAGAGCTTTTCCTACCCTAGCCACTGAGCAAAAGCCCTGAGCTTTACTCTTACTGGATTAATTTGGGCATCCCAGAATTAGTTAGTGCCTGGATAGAGTTGTGATGATTGGCTTAGGCCAATAGAATTGGGATGATTGGCTTAGGAGTCACACCCCATCTGACCCCCAAGTCACACAGCTGTCCCACAATAGAGAGCAGGAAAAGAATGCTGGAGAGACAACCATGATGCCCATGACAAATAATACTGACTTCTCATTTTGGTTGCTTTGGTGTTTTTTCTTTTGAAAAGTAACAGTAATAGAGAAATAATAGTAATAGAGAATAATAATAATAATCAGGAAACACATGCCATTTTGTGTACTGTTGTAAGTCTTGTATGTAAATTAATTCATTTATTCCCATAACAACCCTATGAGACAGGTACTGCCATAGTCCTCATTTTATAGATGAGAAGACTGAGGCTCAGAAAGATTTGTCCAACATCACACACCTGTCATGTGTGAGAGCTATGCTTTGAACCCACGTCATTTGGGTCTGATACCCATATGAGTGTGAATCTTGGTGTGCGTGTTGTCTAGGGGATAAAGTGTCCAGCTACCTCTGGTTGGGAGAAAGATGAGCGGAGGGGAATAGATTGGTCTATAGACAGACTACCAATCAAATCAGTCTCTCTGTGGCTCCTTCTCACACCCAGAGCCTGTCTGAGTTCTGCTAGATAGAAGGCTCTGTAAGCCCCTGCAGGACATTCTGCCTCCATTCTGTCAAAAGGCTTTTCTTCCCTTTTCCATCTTCCAGAAATCTGTGACTCTTTCATTCAGATATCTCTTCCCAACCCCCTTGCCCTTAAAGGTCTATTCCTTTTTGAAAATCTCTCTGATATCATTTTAATGGCATTTTGGGAAGGGGAAGGAACAAAAATATATTCTTAGGTCTTTATCTTAAGTGGGAAAAAATGAATTTTTCTTGGGTAGGCAGTTTTCCTCATTGATGGATGTTTTTATTTGTTGTTGCCTAGTAAGATAGAAAGCAGATGATATTGAATAGATTCCCGTACTTGGTCCAAGAGAAACAGCTTTCCTCAACTGAGGTTGTGCTTTTTGGGGATATCATCAGCTTTCCATAAGATTATTTTCAAACATTGCTGTGAGGCTAGAGAATTTGAACACACTGAGATCTAGGGGAACACTTCTCTAGCTGGCTTTGTGGCTTTGTTGAGCATTAGCCCTTTTTGGAGAACACAGAATCCAAATGACAGAGTTTCCCTTGAGAACAGATGAGACTCCCTAGATGTGTAAAGTCCCACAGAGCAGAAAGTGAATGTAAAGTGACATCATATAACATCATGGAGGAGAATGAGCACTTACTGGGGCCAGCACTGTGCTGACAGGGGAGTTCTAAACTTGTGGAGGGCTGCCCGGAGCCTTGAGGGGCTGATACCCTTGAATTTAACAAAACATGTATAAGCCCTTCTCAAGGGCAGGGTTCATTCATTCACTGACTAGATAGCCACTGAGCACCTACCATGAGCCAGGAACTCTGGGAGGTGCTGTGGATTCAGCAATGAACAAGCTGGACAGGTCTCTGCCCTTATGGAGCTTATACTCCATGGGATAAAAAGAGGTATAACATGGGATGGAATAAATAAGTGCCCAAGTAAATCAATGAGAAGACTTTGGAAATTGTTGAAGTGTTATGAAGATAATAAAACAGGGAATGTGACTGTCAGTGGGGAAGCAACATTAGATCCTATAGTCAGAGGAGACCTCTGCCAGGAGGTGACTTCCAAACTGATACATGAATGACAAAGAACCAGAGAAGATGGAAGGCAGAATGCTTCAGGCTGAGGGGGCCAGGGCAAGGTTTGGGATAAGCAGGAGCTTGGTGCATTTGAGGAACTCAGAAGGTCATATAGTTTGAGCAGATTGGTAGAAAATAAGGTCTGAGGCATTGGCAGGGATAGACTCTGCAGGGCTTTGTCACCCATGGCAGGGGAGTTGCTTATATTCTAAGAAAGAGTTCTCAACTGAAGCACTATGGACATTTGGGCTGGATGATCCTCTTTGTGAGAGGCTATCCTATGTGTTGTGGGATGTTAGCCTCCTTAATCTCTAACCAGGAAATCCTAGTAGAACCTCCCTCCTCCAAGGCTGTGACAACCAAAAGTATCCCTAGACATTGCTAAATGTCTCCTGAAGGGCATAATTACCCAGGTCAAGAGCCATTGCTCTAAGAGAAATGGAAAGCCAGGGGCACGTGTTGAGCCGGGAAGCAGCAAGGGAACCCTGAAAAGGGTCTGGACCTACACCGCTCCTCCCCTCATTCACCTGCTTGGGCCACACTGCCTCCTTCCTGTTAAGGCCACTTGCTGCTACTCAGAGCTACCCAAACCTTGAATTTACCTCATGGACTTCTTACTGTAAATGCCTCCACTCACACAGTTCCTTAACTTCCCTAACTGAGGCAACCCCACCCCCAAACCTGGCCCTCTTTCATGTCATCCTGTTTTATTGGCATTCTCACCATTTCTTGAAATTACCCCTGTCTTCTCCTGCCAGCCTACTAGAACATTAGCCTCATGAGAGCAGGGGTTTTGTTCTTCATATTCAGCCCTGGAAAACCAGTACCCCCCCAGCAGTGCCTGGCCCACAGTCACTGCTCACCTAGAGAAAGAAGACCTGGTCCTGCCTCGAGCCCACTAGCCCACCTTGCAACTGAGACAGGTGCTGTTGGTGCACCAACCTTCCAGCGCAGGTCAGTTGGCATCCTGCTGCTAAAGGAAGGCGATCAGTCCAAGCCCAGAGCAGCCTACAGGTGTGGGGAGTTCCCCCAGCTGGAAGTGGCCCAGCAGTGATTGAAGGGGGTCAGTGGAGATGTAGCCCAGCTTCCTCAGGACAACTCAAGTGTGTTCCATGCAGTGTCCCAGAGCTTCCAGTGGGATCAAGTTTCAGTTGCCCACAACTAAACCTCTTGTGACTTACCGTCTCTTCTGTGCCCCACTGCTCCCAGCTCATACTCCCAGCTCGTACTTTTAGGGTCCACCTCCTGGATTAGTTTCCTAGGGCTGCTGTAACCAATTACCATAATTTAGTGGCTTAAAACCAGAGAAATTTATTCTCTCACAGTTTTGGAGGTCGGAAGTCCCAAAGGTGTAGACAGGACCTTGTGCCCTCTGAATGCTCTAGAGGACAGTCCATTCCTTGTCCCTCCCAGCTTCTGGTGGCTCTTGGCATTCCTGGGCATTCCTTGGCTTGTAGCTGCATCATTTCAATCTTTGCCTCTGCCTTCGCATCTTCTTCTCTTTTGTGTCTTCTCTTCCTCTGTCTCTTGGAAGGACACTTGTCATTGGATTTAGGTCCATCTAATCCAGGATGATCTCAAGATCCTTAATTACACTTGCAAAGATCATTTTTTCAAATGAGGTAACATTCACAGGTCTCAGGGATTTGGGTGCAAACATACCTTTTAGGGGGACCACCATTCAATCTGCCCTAATATACTGCTTATACTCAAATTTCAGAGTTGGCTTCTGGGGGATCCTGGCCTGAGGTGGGTAACCTTTTTTTTTTTTTTTTTCTTATGTTAATCCCCATACATTAGATCATTAGTTCTAGATGAAGTGTTCCATGATTCATTGTTCGTGCACAACACCCAGTGCTCCATGCAGAACGTGCCCTCCTCAATAC